TTTCACGGTCTTTGACCGCTTGAGCAAGTACGCTTGATTCCTCCCATGCAAGTACCATGCTACCGCTCCCCAGCTTGCATGGATCTTGCACGTCGGCTGGATTTGCGGCCACGATGTCCCGGAGGACATCGTTAGCGACCGTGACACTCGGTTCATGTCGACCTTTTGGAGTGCTCTCAGGAACGAGTCTGACATCACCATGAAACCAAGTTCCGCTCAACATCCACAAACGGACGGGCAAACGGAGAGGGCACATCAAACTGCCCAAATGATTCTCCGCACGCTCATCCGACTGGATCAAAAGGACTGGGTTGACTGTCTTCTCGACATCAAGTTCGCCTACAACACTTCGTTGCATCCGACCGCGGACATCGACACCCCTTGCACACCCGCCTCCATTCTGAAGATGCGGGAGGTGCTGGCCAAAGCCCGCACAACCATGCAACAGGCCCAGGTCTGCATGCAGCAGCAACCAAACCGGCGTCACGTGCCTCGTCCCATCCGTCAAGGCAACCTGGTCTGGGTCTCCTTCGAGGAGTTTGCGCTGAAACGTGATGTCTCTCGCAAGCTCCTTCCCTAAATGGTTTGGGCCTTGGCTCGTTCAGTCCACAGCTGGCGATCAGCCCGACGGCCCGTCTTTCGTGATCGACATTCTGCCTCATCTGCCGGTCCATCCCGTCTTTCACGCTTCGAAGCTAGCTACCTATACGCCGGCCAGGAACGACGATTTTCCAGATCGATGACCACAAGACCCTCCTTCAATGGATGGCCACCAAGAGGTTAAGCGGGTCATCGCACACCTCCACTACGGCAACAAGCCAACACAGTACAAAGTCAGATTCTGACAATGTGACCGCGACGACACGGTGGATTTCCCGGGATGCTCTGAAGACTTCTGCACCAGACATCTACACCGAGTACGAGCGCCGACGCTTGGCTACCGAGGCTTCACATCAGCAACCTAACTGTCCCACTCGGACTACGGTCCCTCCCTCAGATCGACAGCTCTGCCCTCGTCGGTAGACTCGGTCTTTCAAGGAAGGGGGGGTGTGGCATATGTAGATCCCACACGGGCCCAGTAGGACCCGTCAGCTAGGTAGGAAGGGGTAGAGACTTAGCTTCGAGCTGGCACATTAGTTTCGTGGTCCGAAGTAGGGCCTGTGTCGGTTCAGGCCAAAAAAAGGGCCGTTTTAGGCCCACACCGGATTCGGCCTGGCCAGGCCCTGGTACCGGTAACGGTTCAGCCCTGGCCGTGGTTTTTTTCCCAGGCCACACTTGGACTGTCAGATTCGATCCAAGTCTACGGCCAGATTGTTTCCCAGGCCATTCATTCTGGGCCTCATGTTTAGGCCAGTAGGACCTAGGAGAGGCCAGACCAGTAGTATTTGTAGACTGGTCTGCCTCTTACTCGGTAGGCTAGTGTGAGTTAGTATTCAGTGTTATGCTGCGCTAGTCTTCAGTGCTGGGTGCAGTAGCAGTAGGCTAGAGGTAGCTAGCGTGGAGACTACAGCAGGAGAGAGGCGGAGGCCAGACACTGGGACTTACCTGATGACTCACCTGGGGGCGCCATAGCTCCAGCTTTGTCTTCAGCACTCCAGTACCGAGGTGAAGGCAATACCTTTACACGGTCAGTATCTGGTACCAGCAGAGAGGAGGGAGAGAGAGGATTCTTCTTCTTCTTCTTCTTCTCTCCTCCGGACCTCCTCCATCCTCCATCGCTCAGTCTTCTACTCCCGTCTGGATACGAGAGAGAGAGAGAGAGAGAGAGAGAGAGAGAGAGAGAGAGAGAGAGAGAGAGAGAGAGAGAGAGA